GGAACCTTTGCAGAAGTGACTGATCTACCAAAATATTCTAAAACCGGAACTCATCCAGGAGGTCACAAAAGAAGTCAGAACAGCAGCTCTGCAGGCCCAATTTGCCTTAGTTAAGGTCAGTGTTCACTATTCCACAATAAGAAAGAGAAGCAGGGCAAAAATAAACTTTGTGGGAGAAATCTAAGGGGGAAAACAGGGCTAACCAAAATGAAAGCAAAGGCCAGTCTCTAACTTATCAAGAAACATCTTAATTTCCCCTTTAGGAAAATATTTTGTGGCACAAAGCGGAACCTTTTGAAATATTTAGATCCTGTTACATCTAAAAAAAAAAAAAACAACTGTCCCATTACAGAAAAATAACTTTTAAACTATGAGTAAACATGGTGGTAGTGTGATGTTCTGGGGTTGCTTAGCTGCTTGAGGACATGGATGACTTGTCGTAACAAATGGAACAATAATTTCAACTTTCTGCAAGGAAATCCTGATGGAGAATGTTTGGCCATCAATCAATGTGGCTGAATTAAAACATTTTTATTCAAAGAAGAGACTGCCACAGTTCGTCCATTGTGGTGTAAAAGTTTCACTGCCTGTTACTGAATTACTGCTGGTTGGTACAACTAGGTTTTAGATTTAGGGGGCAATTACTTGTTCAAATAGGACCAGATTGGTTTGACTAGCTTTTTCTCTTAATTGATCAAAACCCCAAACAAATCTGTAGGGGAAAAATAATTCTCCAAAACGGGCAAATGCGCATCTTCTCACTCTGTAGTGGCAAAAAAGTAAACCGCGTTATTCTAAGCTCACGCTCCAGTTGTGAGAGTATGTCTAATTGCATGATCGTCCAAATATGTGTCTGAGCGTTAGACAAAGTTAATGGTCCCTGAGGCTTTTGCTAATCAGATTTTCTCCCTTAAGGCAAGATGAGTCATTAGTAGCCCAGCTATTCTCAGGCTCCTTCAAGTGAAGTTTCACAATGGCTGCATTTTCTCCATCAGGTCAAATGCCCCTGTGTTTTACAGAGCTGGTCAGAAACTGATTTAGGTCTTTATGTTTTATCTTTGATGAAATTATTGCATGTGATAAACAACAACTACAATACCAGGTTTATCAAATTGTGCCCACCCTGACCTGTTGCTGCACACTACCAGTGAGGTAGCAGATTTTCTGCAATTAAATAGCAATTAAATTATGTTGTACGTTTTTGTTTGAAATGTTTGTGTAAGCACCATTATTTATTCAAGTTTACATTACAAAAATCACAATTATTACTACGAATTAATAAAAATAATTAAACTTCAGTTTAGTGTTTTTTTTTTTTTTTTTTTTTTACCTGGATAAAACAAAAAATCAACTTTTTGTAGAGCATCTAAATGAATCAAT